TATTATCCCATCTTTGAGTGTCTGTCTTGATTAATATTTATTCTGTTAATGAATTTCATATAAAATAATATAGATAGGGATTTTCATATATACAATACAAGATTATTTGTGGTTTCAAATGTTTCTCATTTCTGAATAATCTTCAGATATATTTTATATATGATCCTTATATTCAATTTAAATTTCCTTTTCAATTCATAATTCTATAACTTTTTCTTGCTCAAGTTTTTCTCTTATCCACTTTAATCTGTTAAATTTCTGAAATTTAAATTCGATTTGATCTTTATCTACATTTCTACTCATTATTTCTCTCAGTGTATGCCTTGCTTTTAGCTCTATTCGCAGCTAATGCTTCGCCTCTCTGTGGGACATGTCAATCGATGTTAATTTATTGTCAATGCGCATTTACCGAATGTGTGGCATGTGTGACACAAATACCAACTAACCGAGCAGAATGTGTATAAGTGTGTGTGTGTGTGTGTGTGCGTGTGCACGTATGTGTGCCCTGGGTAAGTATAATAGTGCGTTATGCAAACTGTAGCTGCCTTTTGCTAAAGCACGTGCGCCATGTACTCGTTATTAATCAACAAAGAGATGCATATGCCCCATGCAGCAGCAAAAGTGACTGTGTGCAACGTGCTAGCCATGCTGCCGCTGCTGCTATGGTTATAAATGCAATGGAATGCGGCTTATTACGACAACAGCAACGGCAAGAACGGCAATCAGAACAGCTGCAGGAGCACAACATTTGCTGCAGCTGGACCAATGCTTGCCGCATTGTGTGCCAGGTTGGCTTTGAGCTATGCAGATATTTGCATATTTGCCGAGCTGCAACAAAATCTCATTATCTTGTTGACACGCCTCAAAAAAGGGCCGTCGACTGTGCCCCAGCCCGACGGGTAACATGTGTTAAATGCGGCTGCAGCAACAGCAGCAAGTGCCAGCCGCCGCAGGCAATCATAAATCATTCGCCATGCGCGTTGATTAACTTGGCTTCCACCACTGATTAATCTAAAACAACTACGTGAAATGCGACACATTAGGCGGGCGAAAATTTATCATAATTTATAAACAGACGGCAACAGCAAAGGACTAGCCGAAAGCCTTTCATTGTCATCCATTAATAACAGAGTTGAAACACAGCAATGACACTGGCTGAGCGGCCAAGGACACTTGGCTATACAGAAACTCATGGCCCAGGAGATTCTCAGAGAGTCGTAAAAGGATTTTAATGTAGTTAAAGTAATACTTGTGGAAATGTATTTAACAGATACAGAAATATCTGGCTGTCTCTTTCCAATTGCCACTCGTGCTCTCTGTCTTCTAATTTCTATTTCTTTCATTTCTATTTCACTTTTTCGCATTACCACATTCTCTGCCTTTACTTTATGTTTGCTTGCGAGCAATTTGTCCTTATTACTTCGTTTACAAAAGAAGCTTATAATTTGTAAGCGTGTAGGCAGCCAAGCAGTTGGAAATGTAAGAAAATCGCATTAGAAAGGAACATTTGGAAAAGATAGAATGAAAAAGAGAGAGAGAGAGAGAGAGATAGAGAGAGATAGAGAGAGATAGAGAGAGATAGAGAGAGATAGAGAGAGAAAGAGAGAGAGAGAGAGAGAGAGAGAGAGAGAGAGAGAGAGAGAGAGAGAGAGAGAGAGAGAGAGAGAGAGAGAGAGAGAGAGAGAGAGAGAGAGAGAGAGAGAGAGAGAGAGAGAAAGAGAGAGGGAGCGAGGGAAGAGTAGCTCAAATGACAGAAATGCAGAGCTTGAGAGAGAGAGAGAGAGAGAATGATAGAGAGAAAGAGCGAGGGGGAAACAACGAGAGAAGGGAAGCTAGAGGGAAAGGATATAGAGAGAAAGAAAGAAAGAGAACGATAGAGTGCGAGAAAAGCATAGAAAGGAAGAGAGAAAGACTGAGAGAGAGAGAGACAAATAGAAAGAAAGAAAAAGAGAGATTGAAAACGAAAAATTGAAAAAGAAAGGTAAAGAAAGAGAGGGAGAGATTACGATAAGGAAAGCAATAGAGGGGGAGAAGGAGACAGAGAGATAGAGCATGTGAGAGTGAGATAAGGAATGAGGGCAATAGAGAGATTGTGAGATTTAGAAAGAGAGGAAAAAAGTTACAATGAAAGAGGGGGATTAATTGACATTAAGTTTGAAAGTTTTAATCAATAATTCAGTTAAAAACAGTCATACTTTGCCTATCGCTTTGGTGGCACAACCGCTGTTATCTCTGAGACAGCTGATAAATAGTTGGGCTCTAACTTTGACTTGTTTACTAACAGCTGGATCATATAAGATTAATCACATTGCCCTCGGGCGTCCTTCAGCCTGCGGAATAGAAAGGAACGTAGCTTGGCATTTGAGACGTTTCGAATATTTTCCAGCATAATTTCAGAGAGAAGTTTGAAAAATAGAAAAGCCTTAGAGAGTTGCACTCTGGGGTGGTGCGTTGCACTTACTTTAAAGCGGACAGCTAGTTGCTTGCACGGGGCAACGGAGCGTATAATAAATAGCATTTGCCTGACTCCAGTAGGCGGAAGGGCGGGGCAGGCGGCTCATATACACATGAGAGACGACGTTGGCGTTTGTCAGTTGCATAAAAATGCCAACTCATACGAGGCAGGACATGCCAACTCAGCCAGGACATGCAGCGCCGCAGCGGAAATGGCGCAGAAAGAAAGCTTCAGAGCCTGAGGCAGCAAGGGGAAATTAGAAAATGCCACAGTGCGAAAATGAACAGCGGGAGGCAGGAGTGACAGAGAGAGAGAGAGAGAGAGAGAGAGAGAGAGAGAGAGAGAGAGAGAGAGAGAGAGAGATAGAGAGAGAAAGACGGTTGAGAGTGAGTGTGACAGACAGCTAGTTGGACTGACACACGCTTTGGCTACAGCTCCAGCTTTGGCCAGGCTCAACACCAACGGCAACAACAACAGGAGCTACACGAGTTTTTGGCAACAGTTTTGCCAGTTTTATGCCCTTTTTTTGGCCCAATCTCAGCGCCGAAACAAATAGCCAAATATGCCACACATTCAACTCGTTTTTTCGGGGCTTTTGCTTATGCAAATTCATGCGAAGGCGACGTTTCGGACTGTGGGCAAAGGACATTTCGTGTTGATTTAGTAACAGCAGCCGCCAACGTGCTCCGCATCGCCGAAGGAATTGAATTACGCGCCTCGCTTTAATTTCATTTTCCCTATTTTTATATGGTTTTTTTCATTTTCAACTTTTATTTGTGTTTTGCTTTGAGTTCTTAGTGAATTGAAGCGCAAAAAACATGAAAAAAACAAAATGGCAAATGAGCGAGAGCAAAAAGTGACGTCAGCGACATTGGCAAAATGTTTAATTAAATCTGAGCGGCGCAATAGAAAGGAAATCGGAAACCGAAAAAGAATTTAATTAAACTTTATTTTTTCCGCTTTTTTTCTGCGCAAAGGGAAATGAGGGATGCAGCCAGCAAAATGACAGCGCAACGTATTTTAATTAGTTTTTCTTCCTTTTTGAAGTGTATAAATGTGAGTGTGTGCGTGTGTGTGTGTGTGTGGGCTAAAAACAAATCAAAAAGTGTGCGTCAACAATTGATGTTGGCTCTGTGTGCGTGCATGAGCAACGGCTGTCAAAAAACTTTCAAACAAAATGTCGCTCATATGTCAAACACACGCCACACGCCACACGCCACACGCCCCACACACACGCACAACACCAATGGCAGGCTGTATAACAACAACAGCAACAGCAACAACAACAGCCAAATCTGCTGTGTTTACTGCATTAACATTTGAGGCGCATAAGCAAATGAGTTTTCTAAAGTTAGCTTTTGATCACATAAGCTGGCTTTTCTTCAGCCCAAAACGTGGCAAATTTTCACCTTTGCTTTGCTCATCAACTTTTTCACAGCACATCACGAAAAGTTTATGATGTGTGCGTAAAGGCAATAAATGTTAGCCTACGCAGCAGCAAGGATTTTGCCATTTGAATGGGCTACCATTTTTCGTGCACTTAAATCAGATCAATTTTTTTTTTGTCAGCTTTAACTGAAACATATTTTAGATGAACTAATAATTTGTATCTCTCTAAGTTGCTGTCTTGGCCTTCAGATGCATATCGCAAACCTGTTTCTACTCTCTCTCGAACTACAAGCAACTTCGTTAGCAAAACTTAAATTTACTTCAGATTTCACCAGATCTAATTCTTGCTCAAATGATTTATAATTTGTTTTCGTTTCATAACTCAGCTAATTGCAGGCTTGCCAAAACTTTATCTTATCCACAGCTTACACACAGACCAAAAACAAAAAGCAGAGTTAAGCTTTCTCTAAATTCCTGCCGTCACTCGAAGGTCATCGGCATACTCGCCAGGGGCCTGCTCCTAATGGCTGGGCTGATATGGAGCACTCAAAATGTCAATCATTCATAGCAGCTGCCCACGCTTTCTGGCAACTTATAATTTGCTGCTTGTCAAAGAGGCAACAAGGTTAAACATAATCTGGTTTGGCTTACATTTCTATGCTAATATTTAATACATTTTATATTATTATTTAAATATACATTTTCAGACAAAACATGGCTCAGAAATTTACATATTTTTCTTTGTTTATGCGCACATCAGTTTTTCGGCTGCTGTTAAGTGTAAATCATAAAAAAGCTTTTGGAGCCACGCCCAGAAATGTGCTATAAAAAAGTAGCCAAACAGGCAGTTCTCTCTGTGTGTGTGTTTAAAATACTCAAAATGACCGCATACTAGAATAACAATAAGTTTTTCATAGCCTGTGTACAAATGGCATTTTAATATGCGCTCAACTTCATGAAATATGCAAATGCAATATAAACAAAATGAAAATACATTTAATAATAATAATAGAGGAAGCGGAAATGAAGTGCGGCCGCTACTACTGCCAAAGCTGCAGCAGCACAAAACTGTGTTGACCCCGGTCAAGACTTTCTCAATTTAATTAATTTCTTTGAGTTCTGCATAAAGATTTGCATTTGAAAAATTGAAACTTACCCCGCCGCGTCCGCCAGAGCCTTCATTGCCATCGTCATCGATATAAATCTCTTCCGCCTGCCTGGCTATATCGGATGAGGAGGATGCGGGTGCTGAAGCCGAAGCTTTTACAGATTTCTGTAAATAAAAAAAATTAAAATAAGAGAATGAAAACGAGAACGAGAACAAGACCAAAACATTCACATCAAACATGACGAAAACTTTTTTAATTTCCACCAAATTTCAAGTTTTTCTTTGTTTTCTCCAGCTCTCGCAGCATGAATATATATATATATACGTATATATACTAGATATACTACATATTTTTTATATATTCAAATATTTGCAATTCATTAATTAAAGCGAGAGCCAGAAAACACATATTGAAAGTTGTTCAAGTATATTTAATTTATGTTTCATGAGCATTTGTGAACATTTTTTCGTGGTTCTTTGTGGCTTACCCAATTGCCTGACCACACACAATTTGCATTTATTAAGAACAATGGGAATGCGACAACAATTGCTGCTGCAGCGACAACAATTGCTTAACAAATGCATTTTTAATGATGCAACTGTAAAAATCAATATAAAATTTACCAGGAAACATGAACAAAAAAGACTATAAACTGTGATGGCCCTTGAGAGTGATTGACTAGCAGATACGCTGTGGATCAGAACTTAAGTGGTGCAGATATATCAACTCAAGCTGATGAAAGTTTTATAAATATTATGATAAATTGTAGCTTCTACTAAATTTCTTTTATATAATTTTTTTGCTAATATAACTTATATTATTAACAAAAATATGTCTTTACATATTAGAGACGAATTCATATATGAAATTGGAATTATTTGATTTTTGATTCATTTGCTGCAACCTCATAAAACACATATCTATATATCCTCTGGCAGCCCTAGTTTTCTAGGGTATTAAAATGCCCATTAACAGCTGCTGGCTGCATAATTAATGCGCCAGCACAGCTGACGCTGCTGTTGGAGACCTGTGCGGCCCTCATTAGGGTCACGACTTGAGCAAAGTTTACGAGCTTAAAAAATGTATAAAAAAAAGGCATGAAATGAATGACTTTATACGCCATAAACCAATTTTTTATAATCCCCTGTGGGCAAGTTTAAACATTCAACGCGCTGCATTGCAGATTAGCCAAAAGTCAAAAGTTAGTTTAGCAGCCACAGCCCGTGGCATAACCGCAGGACCAGCCTCACACACGTCCACACTGCCCCACCTGACATTGTCATTCATTCACGTTTTTGCTCATAGGTGTGAATAACCGCGCAAAAGAGTAGAAATAATAAAAAACCTCAGATAAACACTTCATCTTCAGTGCGGCTGCAGCTTTGTGGTTGGTTGGGTTTGCGCCTTCAGTCGGGCTGCGTTTTGCCAAGTTTTGCATTTGGCTCGGAAGAGGCCAGACAGGACCGGCACAGAAAAGAGACAGGCATCTTCTGCATTATTACGAAGCCTTGCTGCTTGGCGGCTCTTCTGAAGTTTGTCCTCGTGTGGGTGGAAGTTGAACGAATGGCAAAATGCATTTACCATGTCTTTGGCCCCATAACGAACAGCCGTGTGCATTTACTCATTTATTTATTATTGTGTTTCATTTATGCAAGCGACTTTAGAGTTTAGTCCTTCATTACGAGTATACATGATCAGCGCAAAAGTTGTGTGTAGTCCTTGACTCAATGCCTGCAGGTGAGTCATTAAATACTTGCTTAAATATGTGGGAAAAACCACTTATATTCTAGGAGCAGAGAGAAGCGATGATGTGAGTTAAGAGTAGAGAATGAGGGAGAAAAAAAGCTGAAGAAGACATATGACGTAGGAAACATTAACTTTAAGAAAATAAGTTAAAATTCATTTTAGTACAACTAAAAGCTGAGGTGAAAAATAAGAAGCCTAAACGAAAAGCAATTTGAGAAGCAATGTAAAAGAGAGTGAAAAACGACAAGAAAAGTTATTTAAAAAACAGTGAAGGAAGCAAATTGTTAAATTAAATGAGGAGCGAACGAGCTGTGGGAGGTGTCAAAGCAACAAACAAATCGAAAATAGAAGAGACAAGATTGACGCAGCTGAATAAAAATGAGATAGAAAATGAGTAACAAAAAATGGAATGGTCTCTCAGGATTTTATAGGAAAACTTAAGCAGATCAGCTTTTAGCTTAGACTCAAACCACCACTAGTGAGTGGCAGGCCTTAATCAACTCAGCTCTCGCCTTTTGTTTGATTAGTTTTCTATGATAGATCATTCATTTTCAAAAACTTCATTCACTCTACGCATACTAAAGGCACTTCTCTAACTTTTCTGGCACACTCTCCCACTGGCTTACAAATAATAATAATCTGTGTAATAGAGAGCAAAAGAGCAGAAGATAAATGGCCAAACAACTTGTTTCAACTTTGTTGTTCTAATTTTCAGCATTGCTGAGCGTAAAAAAGAAAGAAAGAAGAAGAGCGCAAACTTTGTCAAATTTGAAACATTTATGCAGTGTGGCCCAAAATAATCTTGCGCCCAAAAGGGATGCCGTTGGAAGTGTTGCCCAACATATTTCGCATATTTTTCATTTATTTTGGCTTCTATATGAATTTTTCACTGGCAACAATTTGTCAGCGCGAATGTGCGCCAGATGAGGGCAGCTGGAGCGACTCCTGAAATTGAAATGCAATTGTGCGGGGCAACAAAATAAAGCGACGCAAAATGTTCTTTGGCACTTTTTGACAAATATAAATATGCGAGCAAGATAAAAAAGCGAATGCTTCGTTTTTGCCATTTTAGTGAGGGACTTAAAAGGGAAGGAAAAAGGAATAACCAGCCAGGCGATAAATCAATATAAATATTGACAGTTTTACAGTTACCTCGTATGTGCACGGGGCGTGGCTGTGTGTGCGTGTGTGAATAAATGTATAAATATATAAACATTTTTTACTCGCCAAGAATAATATGAAACATGAAAAAATTGCACTCTTTACGAGCATTTGCAAATATTTGAATGCATTGCAAATTTTTGACTATTTTGCAAGTACTTTTTCAGAGCTCACAAATACTCAATGGATTTAATACTTTAAGTTATAACGCATCAGCTGGCAACAGAGCTGAAAGAAACACGTTTTTCGGGCTCTGATTTCAGCTTCAATACAGAAATAGGTCAGGCGCAGCCAACTTAATAAGCACATAAGCTATGTTGGCGTTGCCAGATAACCTTAAGCTGCAATTTAAATTAAATAAGTATAATAAACTTTACAGCGGATCATGCAGCGTTACGGCATTACAGCAAGATAGGAAAAAAATAAATATTTGTATTGGAATTTGTGTGTGCCTCTGCATCAATATAAAAGCAATATCTATTGAACATATTGTGAATTCAAAAATATAAAAATAAATATATTCTTTCATTTATTTTGGACAATTTGAAGCCATGTCAACTTAAGCCCATGTTGCTGCTCTGTAACTAAATCTATTCTATAGCTGCTACAAATTTATAGCTAGAAATTAATTCTATAGATAGAAAGCTATGTAAGCTATATATTACTTATATATTTTTAATAAATGAATATAAAACTTAAACATATTTTTATTATTTTGGATTATTTCAAGCCTACTGATTCTGCCGTTCGCAGTCAACTTAATTTGTGAAATTTAACGCAGCAAAAATCCGTTTTTTATAATTTTATCTTGATTGTAATTTTTAAATTTGCGCATTTAATTTTAGCCACAATTTTAATTAATTAATAGGTCGTTCGTTCTGCATTTGCGATTTACAGGCAGTTCAATTTCCACTTTATGCTCAACGAATTGGTTTTGTCAACCGCAAATAAATGCAGATTAGATAAATGCCATTAAAAATTGCATGAAAAATTACAGGAAAAAAGCAAATTTAATAAATGAAAGAGCTCGAATGTTTTTATTTAAATAAAATAAACTCGAGCTAATAGAATTTTTTAGCAGCTGCTGTGCATTTTTCGATTGTCAGTTGCATTCGTTAATCTGTTTGAAATGAGCAACAATAGCAGCAGCAGAGGGAGAGGGAGGAGAGAGAGAGGCGGGATGCGTGAGGGCTACGTATCAGTTGTCCGTTGTGCAATTGGATTGAAAGCTGAGAGTGCTATTAAAGCTGTCCCTGGCAGATAGACAGGCAGACAGGCAGCGAGCCAGGCTGTCAGTGAGCGACGCCACAAAGTAGGCAATGAAACGGAATCGATTGCAAATGCAATTTGCAATACGTATACGCAGCGTGAGCAGCTCACAGCTCACAACTTACAGTAAAAAAAGAAAGAAAAAGCCAAAAGCCAAAAGCCCATGGCACAAGCCTCAAGGCTCACACACAATGTGGCAGGTCAGCAACAGCATTGGCACAGGCCGTGTGGCAGCTGCTTGTCTGGGCTGTCTTGTTAGGCTGAAGCGCAGTCAAGCAACTGCCATATGCCAGAGCATATACATAAATAATATATAAATATGTCGACACTTTGCAAACTCGTTATACATTTTCATTAGGGCGTATGTCTGACTGCCACGCCCACACACTACTGCCAACACACGCCTGCTTAGCCAAGCGTGCGTCTTGGCCATTAAGGTGTCAAGCTTGTGCGTGCGTGTGTACGAGTGTGCGTGTGTGTTAGTCTGTGTCTGTTAGGGGTAACTGTTTTGGCCTCTGGGCTTCAACAAATAAAAGCAAATCAAAACTTATTATGCTACGCACACACACAGATGTGTGTAGGCCTTGCGCAAAATCTGTGTGTGTGTGTGGCATGTGTGTGCGCTTGGGAAAACTTTTATGTTTATAGTAGCTATAAAAACAGGAGAAAAAGTAAAAAGAAAAATATACGAAACTCGAGAGCTGATGGCCATTTTCCGCTCGAATTTGTGCATAAAACTAATTGAACAGCAAAATTATTGCACAGCCCGAGGGACAGATAAACGTGCAACAACAACAACAGCAGCAACAATAATTCGCGAAAACAACATTATCAAATTTATGCAATGGCTGCTAATGAGCGACAAATATTTAGAATAATAGCCAAACAATGCAATTAGTCCACAAATTTTGGCATAGCTGCCAGAGAAGATTCGCATAGAAGGGAGGCTGAGTTAACGCATATGCAAATAAGGCTAAAAAGGTATGTC